CAATCTCAGGACCAGAATGTTCTTCCCAAATGTCAGTGGTGAGTGGTGAACAAAACTTTGATTGAAAGAAATTAAGTCTTTCAATGGAGGACTTAATCTCTTAGGTTTGGGGTGGCAAATAGGTCAACATTATTCTATTGTTGATGGCTGCTGGGGCATTCCAGTTAGTGATTCTAAGGCTGCATCTAGAAGATCCATGAGTCAATTAATTAGAAATATCTACCATGGGCATTGGAGTCAAGGATGGTAGACAAACACCTCTTACACGAGTTTTCAACTTGAAGGTTGAATTTATAAAAGACTTCCTACTTTCTCTTCTGATAACACCCTCATGATTATTATGGGATATGGCTTATTATGGTGACTGAAATTGGAGGGAATTGGGAAAGATATTGCAAGATTGACAGAGACTGAACCTATATGTGGCAGAGAGATATGTGTGCTCACCAGATACACATATGCTTGTCTGTCTACATCTCCCAGCCTCTGTCCAGTTGGTTTGGGACCATCTGACTGAGTTCTGGCCAATGAGATGTGAGCAGAAGTGGTGTAAGCCACATCCAGGCCCTGCTCCTAGAAACATCGAAAATGATCATCTAGCAAATTCTCCTCCCCTGCCACATTAATCCTTGGAGGCACTGTACTGCAGATGACATAGCTACAAGAGGGAGAAAGGTCCACGAGCACCCTGAACTTCATAAGAGTGAGACATAAACTTAATGGATATTTTGGATTTTGTCTGCTCCAGCAGCTAGAGTGAATTACTCTAATACACGCTAATAATTATTACAGGAAGTGGTTTGTTATGGTGATGGGAAAGGGCTTAGCCTATCTAAATGTTTGCAGGAATCTGCTTGCTGAACTGGGTCCTTGAGACAGCACATTCCATTTCTTGCTTATGTTACCATTAGGTCAGGGAAGTTTTCTAGATTCTGTACTCTGCTCGCCCTGGGGTGGTGGAGAGCTGAGGGTGGGATGGGAGGGGTGGGGTGGGGCTTGGCTCTAGTGTACCATGCATACTTCTGCACAATGTATATATCCTGGAAAAAGTATATTTCTAATAGCATCATTCCTTTCCATGAGTTTCTGTTCCTTGACTCAGTTATCTTTAAACCAAATGGCAAAAAACAAAACTGAAAACAAAACAACAAAAATTGGCTGCTCCTGCATTGGTGATCCTCTGTGTTCCGGTGCCACGTGACTTTCCCCAGCCTAAACCCCTTCAGGGAACCTCAGCTGAGATCAATAGCATTGCTTAAATCTCTCTCTCTTTTCTCTCTTTCCCCTGCTATTCTTTTTGATTTCTTATCTCCCTGTATCTCAATCCTACTAATTCCTAAACCTCCCAAACACCCCTCCACCTGAGCAAAAACAGTTTCTCCTTCCTATAACACTTTCATCTGTACCTCTCTGAAGACATATCCATGCCACCTTCTGATGGTTACCATAGTTATGAGGTTATGGCAGACCTTACTCCTGGACCATGAACTTCTGAAGAGAAGGGAAAACATATCTATGTGGCTTACTGGTGAATATTCCATTGCACAGTGGAGTGCCTATTGTATATTAAACAAATGAGTGAATGAATGAAAATCTCCTTTGCAAAGCTATGAATTCTTTCAGATAAAAAATTATGAAACAGCCTCTGTAGAAATAGGAGGCAGCTTAAAAAAAAAACCAAGCAAGTAAAATATTATAGCTCTGAATATGCTAAAAACATTTTATTTACTCATAGTATCAGAATACTGGAAAGATTTTATTCTTATTTTCCTCTGGTGTGGATCTTGCTATTTCTTTTCAATTTTTAAACCAGAGATCCATAGACAATTGTTTTTGTGGGAGTGAAATAAAGGATGGAGATTTGGGATAGGCAAAAATATAAAACTGTCCTGTTTTATCTAAAGCAATTACCATGAGGATAAACAGCTCTCTTCTTAATACAGCAATTCCATAAATAACAGAATTCTTGACATCCAGTAAGAAGTTTCCAGGGCAGTGCCATGATATATATTGTTGGCTGGGAGAAACTATTGTTTACAAGCTAATTATTGTATAACAAGTTGGCTTTTGTTAGCTATCTGAGAGGTTAAAATAGCAGATTTGGAAAGATAAAGTGTGTATCAACATGTACATTTTTTTAAGTCTGATTACAAACAGTAGTTTGAGAGAAGTGAAAAAAAACAAGTTAGAAAAAAACCAGTTTATTAAGTAATATCATATAAATAACTTGTTACAAAAATTGATTTGCAAAAGGCATATTTACTCTTTGAGAAATCACTTTTTTAAATTGCATTCTTTTCAAATTTATACGTCTAAGAAAACAAAGGAAAATAAAAGAAGCCATTTCAAGGAGCGTGTATTTGCCATTTGACTACAACAAAAGGCCCGGCCACACTGAGCTAAAAGGTAATCGTCTCAACCCCATTCTTCTAATACAGAAAACTTGCTCATGTAATCTGTGAAGTTATGAAAATCTCCCTAACTAGAAATGTGGATGAAACCTGAGCGGTGACTGTTTCCATCAGGGGGTCTCGTTGCCAAAGACACAAGTGACGCTGAGAAAAACTGTATGAACTGCATACTCCAGCCAGTAAATCTTCAAGAGTGGCGTCAGCTTAAATTTATACTTGGAAGTATTTTTAATTAAAAACAATCAACACCAAAAAGCTTTTATTTTCTGGGTTTAAAATCACAAATCACGGTAGGAGAACGCCACATTGCCTTAGCGTGGTACTACTGAAGACGTACGTAGCATTTATCATAAGGCCTATTCTTATGCAGTGTACTTTCAAAGCAATGAAAATAATCACAAACAAAACAGTACAGGGCTTTCGAAGCGTTCCTATGTGTCTTCTGAGCAGATCAGTGTTACGTTTGCTACACAACACTCCGCCTGAATGCCTAGTTATTCTATACATTTGATTCCTTAATAAACACTAACTAATAGATCATAGAAAACTAAAAGCTTATAGAAGGTGCCTCTAGATATATTTACATACATAGCAGAGTCTTGCAAGAAAGACCAAGATCTCATTAGAGTGGAATGCTTTTTCCACAATGCTGGGTCCATGCCTCATTTGTCAAATTAACCCCATTTGAGAAGAAATTTGAGTTTGTGGTCCATGGGTTCTTAAAAAAAATGGAATTAAGTAACTTGTAAAAGCTCTTTTGAAATTAATCTAATAACCCAGTGGCTCTTCAGCTAAGTGCCTCGGTCCTGTCTGAAATACGGTGGGTAATAGCTTTGTTTCCATCTGATCTCCTTTCGGCTCTTTCATCTGCTGGCTCTGCTGGGCTAATGTTCTCCCTGAATTAAAAAATGACAATGCATCATAAATAAGGTATTACAAAATGGGGAGTAGATTAAAGATTGTGTCAGCAATGCTTAAATTAAATTGATGATGCAGAGACCATAAACTTCTGGCTTTAAAAATGAGCTATTTCTTTATTAACTTTTAACAAGTGTGTGAGTCACTGTATTTCCTTTCTAAGAGGGTATTGCTTTGAACATTAAATATGGTCGGGGTCTGCTATTTTTTAGTAGAGAATTATCCCTTTAGAAAATTATTCCATAAAGATGCCAAAGAGAGATTAAAAATGCTGCAACCGTAACAGTCACCGAACTTTTAAGGAGACCATACTGAAATTCTGTATTCTCTGGAAAAGAAAGCTGCTTGTCAGACCTTAGGAAACAGTTCATCTTCCTGAAGATCCATACACTAAGTCTTAATCTTTCCACTCTTATGATCTGATAGAGAAGGCTGGCTTGTAAGGTTAACGTAAACACAGTAGACTGGATTTTTAATCCTCGGTCACAATTCAAAAAAGATTTCATCTAGATAAGAACGTAAAAAATAAATTTAAACTAAAATGATCCTTTTCAGAGGATACCTTTCCAAATAGTGGGGATCATGACTTTTTAGAGCATTCTTTCAAAGTAATTACACTACTTCAAACCTAATAACTAGGATAAAATAATTTCTTTGGTGATTCGGTTCCGGGGAAAATGAATATAGCTGTACCTGATTTAAATATTTAGTTTGTGCCCAAGAGTCAGCTCTATTCTTTCCTTTAAACTGCATATTTTTTATGGTCCTCAAGTATATAGAATTGAGGAATGCCCAATTCATAGTTTATACATTATTATCTCCAATGAAATAAACATTTCAAGGCAAAGCATTTGATGTAAGGTGTTACTTAGCAAATCAGGACATCTAAAATTTATGCACTTAAAGATGAAAGTAATGGAAACATTCTAAAGTTAATTTGGATCACAAAATTTGTATGCTTCTGAGATAGAGATTCAACTTTTAAGAACTTTTTTTACAACTTTTTGGGAGCTGAAAATGAACACTAAACCAAAAATTTTTATACTGAGTTAAAATTGAATTGCCAGGTTTTGTTCCTGGCAAATGGAGTCAATTTCTATTCGACCCTCCTTTTATGCACCTAAACCGTAAAGCTAAGAAAGTTCTGTAAAATACGTGTGTTTACTGTGCCCAGATCCCCTCTCTTATGGTTTTATGGAACTCTCTTTGCTTCTCTCCCATTTGATTTATTTTTTTTATATGGGGACAAATGTTTTCCAGGTCTTTCAGTAGAAAGTGGCCACGAAGTGAAGGAGCTTTAAACTTATGCGCAATGGTTTAATGTTTTTAAAATTTCAGCTTATTTTAGGGAACATCTTAATGGTTTGAAGAAACTCTCCCCTTTGAATAGAGGGGAAAAAAAATGTCACAGAGGCCTCAAAGTCCTTGAAGCAACTTACAAAAGCAATCTGCTTATATTTAATGAATTTTAGTTTCTCAGTGATTACAGCAAATATTGAAATTTTATCTCTTCCCCCTTTCCTTCCATCTTTCTCATCACTAACATCTAATATCAGGACAGAGACAATGTGAAAACTGAGCTGAAAACATTTTTTTCTTCAGTAATCATTCATGTTGACCTGAGTGCTTGACCTGATACCTTGATGGGAAAGAAGTGAGACCCACACTGTGGCTCTTATTGTTTCCATGACATCAAAGAGTCTTAATTATAGAAAAATATTGCTCCACTTTGATACTTACAGGACTTTCACGCTAATTCAGTTCCACTCTCAAATTGTCCAATTTCTTAGAGATTCACTTCATCATCAGGTTTTGCGGTAGGAGATTAGACAGTTATTTGAGTATTTAGTTATATTATCCTGTTCTTGGTATATTATATCATCTTCAGGGTGGGATAAAATACCCTGCCAATTACATCTCAAATATTCCACTACAGAAATACTTACTTTCACTTCTCAGGAAAGAGTAAACCTTACCCTTAAACATTGGAAGTTGCTAGTGTCAACCCTCAGACATTCCAAGGAACGCCAAAAGTTCAAAAGGAAGACTTCTGATGACACCTTTCTTTTTACAGGACTTACTTTCTTGATTCAATTTGTTACATGACATGAAACATAAGGATAGAGAGCTCTTTAATTTTACAGTAAGTCAGGTAATTAAGGTGCTGTTCTATTGCTATAAATAACTAGTTCTTATTAATTAACTTTACTAAGCTATCTTTTTTCAACACTTACCTGTGACTGTGATATATATTGACTCATTACAGTGAAGCCCTCCTATAGTATTTTGTTTGCATTCCTCTGTGTGTGTGTATGTCTGTGTGTGTATGAAGAACTAGCAAAAGAAAACCCTGAAAGCAAGAAATAGCCCAAGTATGAAATACTTGTTAGTATACAGGGAAGTCTATTACAAAATAGGAAACCATTCAGGAAACACAAGGAATAATAAGATTGTAAAAATTTTTTACTCTACTTGGCTAACCCAAAATACTATATTTCTCTTATTTCAAAGGTGCCGTCTTTACTTCCTGGGTAATATGCCTATTTAAAACTGAACTAAACAACAGTGTGTTTCCAAGTAGAAAATATGTGCTGATATGACAGTATCCTCAAATGGAAATTACACTAAGATTATCTGTAGAAAATTAACATTAATTGAAAATAAACCCCTAAGACTAATAATTGAAGTCAGCATATTCTTAAGTACATATTATATATATATACACAGCCTGTCTTTTTAAAGTTTTTCAAAACAAGGATGTTTTCATTACAGTACTTGGGAAATTTCTGATGACTGCACAATGTCAGATTCTAATGATAAAAGTCCTTAGAACAGCCGTATGAAATAAATGATTTGAACCTGCCAAAAGGATTAGTTCAGTTCAGTTGGGTCCTCTGGATAATAACTGTGATGCTAATTGCATAATTACAGAAATAATAGATTGGATGGATTGTACATTACTTTTCTGTCATAGTTTGAGACCATTACTTTATCATTAGCTCAAAGACAAGGCTGGCAGAGTTGCCATGGAAACAAAGTTAAAAACAATGAAAAAATATTAATACTTTTGAAAGTCAACTATCATGTTAATTACAACCTGAAACACTCTTGTTGAAAGGAATTCAAGTTTTTCCCTGTGTAAGCATCTTCCAAATATGTAATATGTAGGTTTTCACCATGATCTCAATGTTCATCTATATCTATCACATTATATAAATAGATAGATGTTTCTAGACGTGAAGGACAGGGTATCAAGTTCAAGTGTGGCTGGCTCTTACCTCCCCATTAAACTCTGAGAGCAGGATTTGAGTTTTATTTAATCTACCTTTACTAATGCAACTTAATTGTGTAAGAAGTATCTGAAGAATATGAATTATTGTACTTCACACTGCTACTTTCAAGTATATTAGTATAATACTGAGGACAACTACAGACAAGGAGTTAAAATTTATCTCAGAAAAGTTTCTTCAAGAACTTTGAAACAATTAGACTTATTTATAATTAGCCTACTGATGGTTGAAATAATTTCAAGTAATCTGTGGTATATTTGGTGGCCCAAACTTTAAAGTATGCTAAATATTTCCTTTGTCAACCTTATTAGCTGTTTTCCCTTTTCCTTTATATGGTGCAAGGGCAAACTTTTGCATGTCTAATATATAACAAATTATAAGTTAGTGGCAAGGAATGAGGTCTTACTAAGTTTTCTTTTTGGTTGTTGTTTTGGAATGTTACCATTTAATTTGCTTCTATTTCTAAAGAGGAATGAGAATCTTAAAACATTGGTGGATCTGATGTTTTGAATAGTCGTTGGTGTCAGAAAAAGTTCTTGAAGAACAAACAAGATGGGCAGATATTTTAAATTCTTTGTGACAGAAACACACCCATATACAGTTCATTATCTCCTTGTGAACCGATATACCAGGAACAACCGTGAAGTTGTTCCTCATGTCTCTTACTAAAACTGTATCTTTATCATTAAAGCACAATCCCTCATCCCATTAGCATGTGAAGTGTACAGTCAGAGCAGTCAGCTGACCTGAGTCAATGGAGTGTAGCAAAAAGACCAGGCCAGTGGAATCAGCATGTTCCAAACTTGCCCTAAGAGAGCAAGGGAAAAGGTTACTCTCTGTCCTCTCCTCCAGCACGGTGGCTGTTGGGCTGACTGACATGGTTAAGTGGATGCACTAAAAAATAAACATTTGCCTCTTGGAAGCTCATAAAAGTGTACTAGAAAAGAGTCTCTAATATTGGATCCACACGGACTGCAGCCATTGGCTTGTGGAACGGGTAGAACAGAGAACCCTTCACGGAATAGTGGATAAATAGAAAGAAATAGCCACTTCACGTATTTCAGCTTCGTATTGGAAAATGAAAAAAGGCAACATACTAGGAGTCTTTGTCACTGTCTACCCCTCCGTACATATCTGCTAGCTTTTTGAAGCGAGGGCCCCAGTCACTAAGGTAATCATAGTCTTGGTCTCCATCCGTGGTCACCGACTCCAGCGAGCTCAGGGAATCGGCCACCGAGCCCGTGCCCTCGTAGGCATAGGTGGCCAAGGAGTCGTAGGGCGGAGCAGTGGGGTCCGTGTCATTCTCCTTTAACCTTTGGTTAATGAAATCTCGGACGTCGGTGTTATCACGAGCGGCTGGAGTCCGTCGCGGTAGAAAAAGGGCTTCGGGCACAATGTCCCTGCGTAATTTGCTGTCCTCTATGGCTTCGGGATTCCTCAGAGTGCCGATATCAAAGGCCTGGGTGTCCTCCTCTCCACCACCTTCGTCGTTGTAACTGACAATGTTGTCTCTGATGTCCTCTTTGGAAATGATCAAAGGTTCTTTTTTCCGCTGCCGCCTCAGAGCTGCAAACAACACCACTGTCACTGGAGGCAGGAACAAAACAGAAAGAGAAGGAAAAGTTAATTTGCCGTCCAGGTAATGCCGGGAAGAAACACTGTGCTCCAATGCCAAGTTTTAAAAGTTCTCTAGGAAAGTGCAGACTCAACTTTTATTTCGTGAAGCGTGCACTTGCCTCCGTGCCTGATCAAACCAGGACCCGAAGAAATGGAGTAACTATTTGAAAGAGGGTTACAATTTAAGTATAGGATAAAACACCATCATATTTTGTCAGTAGTTCCTTTTTGCTTTGAAATGGCAAACTAGTTTTAAGGTAAGGAAAAAAAAAATAATAAAAAGCTCAACCACAGAGGAAGTACTGCATTAAGAGTGCGAATTATGCTGAACACCTAAAATGCTCTGAAACTGCTTATGAGCACAAGGCTGGCACCTTCTAGATGTGTTGAAGGGTTTGCATAACTCCACAACTAAAATAACTTTTGCATTATGCCTTCTTTTTTTTTTTCCAGAGAAAAGTGTAAAATTAGTTTAAAACTCAAAGTCGAGCTGTGAATATTTGCATACCTTTCCCACATATAAGGACACGTTATTACAGATAATACCTGGAAAGACCCAGATACAATTCAGAACGCCATTTTGGACTTCAAGATCAGCCCTTTTGAAGGGGGCAGGTAATAATACACATGCCAGGTTATTTCTGTTTGAGCTAAACAAAATAAACACATTTAAGTGGGGACTTTAAAAAAAAAAATCTTTCATGAGTTTATGTTCTGTAAGTTTGTTGCCCAGAATGTTCATTCTTTTAGTTTTTCCTCCTAACTCGAATTAGATGCAAAGCAAGAATTGTGTTTAAATAGCTCCTGATGTTTCTTCACAGCTGGCTGGGGAGAACACAACTGGCCACATGTAGAGAGACACATCTACAAATGGACATATGGGTGGGAAAATAAAAACATAGAGACAGCTTAGAGAGAAAACAGCTATCTAGGGCAGAAAATGCACCGTTAATCAGGGTTTGTCCAGGGGAGTTTATTACAGAAAGTACCAGTAATGTCTCTTTATTCTCCCTTCCATAACATGGTACCATTTTCATGAACCATGAAAATTGAATTATTGCAATAAAAATTACAGAATAGTGGCTTTTGGTGGACATATATATCTACCTATATAATAATGGATATATGCACACCCATATGTGTATGTATTAAAATTTCAGATGTTAATAGTATTAATAAAAATTGGTTGTCTATGGAGAGAGTTCAGTGGGCCATGCACTGTGCTAAGTGCTTTACATACTGAATCTCATCTAATTATCATAATACCCCTACAAAGTAGGTGCCATCATTGTAACCCCATTTTACATAGAGGAAATTGAGGCTTAGAGATGTCACATGTCCAAGCAATCGAATTCCAGGTCAGCCAGACTAGAAAACCTGCAATCTTAATGACCATGCTTTGAAGCATGTTTGGGTCATAGACTGTTTCTAAAGGAAATACAATTTTGCCATTTTCAAGTGTGTGGTTGTGTGATTGCATACATTGTCTTTTGCTGTCAGAGAATATCCTGATGCCTCATTGGTCCCATTCATTCAGGGTAATTATTCATTTATTCATTCAGTAAATATATCTATGTAGTGCCTACTCTGTGCCAGGTACAGTTCTAGGCACTACCAATACGACTGATCGCGAGTCCTGCCCTAAGAAGGTGGGTGGGAGTGGTGGGAGTGGTGGTGGAAGGAAACAGAAAATAAACAATGTGTATAATAAATAAGAAAATTATTAGAAGGTGATAAGTGCAATGTAAACAAGAAAAACTAGAGCAGAGAAAGGAGGATGGGAGCGCTTCTGTGTACGTTTGAGGGGCTGTCTATGGTTTTCGAGGGGAGATTGCATCATTGAGGAAGTGACATTTGATCAAAGACATGAGGAGTTATCCAAGGAGCTATGTGGTGAAGAGGACAGAGCTAGAAGAAGGGCCCTGGAGTGGGAGTGTGCCTGGAGTGTGCCTGGAGTGCTTGAGAAACAGCATGGAGACCCTGTGGCTGGACCAGAGGGAGCCGGGGAGAGAAGAACAGCAGGGTTGGGCCAGGTCATGTGGGGCCATGGATGCTTCTGTAGGCCTTCACTTTACCCAGGATCCGGGTGGGTAGGAAATTGCATGGCTTTGGGCAGAGGGATGCTCATAATCTACCTTTTATCCCGGTTTCCAGCTTGACCAATGACACGGATTTGCAAAACAGAAGGGTTGTAAATCAGGATGGCCTTTGGGATTAGAGAATAGAACCAAGCTAACTGTCTTTCAAAGAATTAAACTCTGATGTACCACAGGTTCATTCTGTCATTTAAGGCAAGATAGCAGGCATTTATCACTTCCTAACTCTTCCTCAGCTTAAGTTACCTGTATCTTTTATTTTAGTCCTATGCACACCTGAAGGTGCAATTGTTTGCAAGACAGAGGGCATCTTCAGTCATTCAAAGGCATTTATTCACTGCCGAATTCTCCTACAGCTACAACTGGTTGTATCTTTTTTTTGTTAGCCCAAATAACATCTGAACAGAATTTCTTGAGTGTTTAACTGTCTAGAAGACAGATCTTTCTCAAAGCTAACTTTTGTAATCTGAACATGTGAGTTCCAAGCACATGGAACAAAAACAATCTGAGAAAGTAATACGCTTTCTTCCCAGTAAGTGAGCCTTTTCCTTTTTCTCTACCCCCTTGGGGCCAGAGGACAGCAGTGAGATTTTTGGAGGGGAGGCACTTGGACCAATTTGTGCTCAAATTTCATCATAAAACTAGAAGGTAGAAAGGCATTTGAGGTCAACAGACCTAGGTTCACTTAAACGATCTGATCTAAGTCTGTTTCCTTCTCTGTGAAAGAGAAGCAGTAACAGTGCCCAGGGTTGTTGTCAGGAATGAGTTAATAAATGCAAAAGTTTTGTAAAATCTAAAGCACCACAGAGGCATGAGATGTAGTAGTTGTTTATACTATTATTTTATTTGCAAAATGCCACATAGTCTACTTTCTTGACTGCCAATTTCCTCCTATATCAGTGTGGCTTCCCTTCTCTCACTGACTCAGGTTTGCTTCCGCTTTCTTCGGTTGTCTTATTTTCAGTTCAGGCTCTCTTTCAGCCTGGAAGTTGCCCTGCTTTCTATAAGCTCACAAAGAATGTACAGTGCAGTGTGGAAGCACCAAGGCTCGGGGGAGAAGACCTGGGCTTGGAACTTAGTTCCACCACCTGTTAGCTGTGTGACTTGGCTACATGACTCTATGTCTTGGAGCCATATTTAAAATGCAGATAAATATATACCAGATGGTTCTGAGGATTAAATGAGAAAAACATTTGTAAAGCATCTTGCCCAGTGTCTAGCTCGTGATGTGAGCCTAGTAAAGGTTAAATCCAATTTTTCTTCTTTTTTATGAGGTACAGAATTCTGAAGAGACTAGACAAGATGTGAGACGCACTGAGGCAAATTAGGAGTAATGAGACAGCAAATTCATTGGAGGAAGGAGACGAAAAGGGAGGATAAAGGGAGCTGGTTAGAAGATAAAAAAGGGGGGAGGAGAAAATAGGTAGATGTTGAGGGAAAGGAAGAATCACCCGTGTGAGATGAGAGTCGGCTCTCCTTCCACAAGCCACAAGAGTCCAGGGTATTCTACCTGAGTTCAGCCAGCCAATCCAGCCCTTCTAAAAATAACCTTTTTTATCAAAAAGAATATTCAGATCTTTCTCTTCCAAAACAATTTTTACAGACTCACACCATTAAAGACACTGATTTATCTTTGCATACTTTCAGTTTTTATTTATCCTCATATCTTAAAATACTTTCCCCAAATCTTAGTTGACAAAGAGAATCACAGTTCTATGGTTGAGTTTCAAGGCTTCTGTTATAATTAGCAAAGTTGATCTGGAATGTGAAGTTTCTGAGCAGGGATCCCTGGCATTCTCTTCCTGGAGAAATGGAGGTCTGTCTTTACTTTTCTCAAAGTCACTATATTGTCATTTTTTAAAGTTTCTTTTCCCCCTGTGTAATCTAGGTTAACTCTAACTTCTTACTTTTTTTCCCCCTTGTGTAGGCAAGCTTTAAAAATCTTACTTTTATTTTTAGAAGGACTGCATTAGCTAATATTTGGTTTCTTAGTTCACAACAGTCAAGGGTCTGTTGAGCCTTTTGAGCTCAACTTGTGTGCTTAATTAGTTAGTTGGGGGTAAAAATTTCATTTGAATCATTGTTAGACCTTGATTTTTGCTTTTATTACATTCATTTCTTTTAGGTCCTAGATTTATTTCCTTAGTCACAGAGGCTGAGAAATAATAGACATTGTGGATGTGGCAATCAGAAAGCAATGCTAGGAAAGTAGTTATTTAAATGGTAGATCAAAATAAGTGTGCTGGATTAAAGAAAATTTCATCACTTTTTATTTTCCTGTATGAGAGAGAAAAAGTCATCACATTCCTCTTCCCACTTTCCCATTGATTTTAAACTTTACCTTCGTAGGAAGGGCCTTCATCCAACTTTCACTCTTTAAAATTTAACAATGTTTGCCAGGTTAAATATTGAACAACAAATGAGATGAAAAGGGCATATTTATATTGCCCTCAAATCCCCCTGAGATTCATTGCCAGTCTGACAGACAAGAGATTCTTTTGGTGGAATGATTCCCTGGGTAGGTAAAGACATGGGCAAGTTTCACATCTGTTCATTCTCCAAAGCCATTTTCTTTTCTTTTCTTTTTTTTTTTAATTTTTTGTTTATTCCAGTAACATTGGTTTATAACATTGTATAAATTTCAGGTGTACATCATTATACTTCTATTTCTGCATAGATTACATCATGTTCACCACCCAAATACTAATTACAACCCATCACCACACACATGTGCTTAATTATCCCTTTCACCCTCCTCCCTCCCCTCTGGTAACCACCAATCCAATCTCTGTCTCTATGTGTTTGTTTATTGTTGTTATTATCTACTACTTAATGAAGGAAATCATACGGTATTTGACCTTCTCCCTCTGACTTATTTCACTTTGCATAATACCCTCAATGTCCATCCATGTTGTCACAAATTTTCAAGCAAAAACTAGGTCATGGTTGAACAACACAGAATCTCAGCATATAACTCTACTCACCTAGATTGGGCTGTATGACTTAATGGGGGAGGCAGATCTAGAGAGTCACAGTAACAGTGTGTGCCCCTCAGCATGGGGAGATAGGATGCAGGGAGAAGCAGTTTACCTAGTAGGGTCACGATGCACAGTAGGATGGCAATCAGAGCCCCCGTGCTCAGTCCCGTGGGGTGGACGAGGGCCTCCGCGTGGCAGGACTGCATGTTCCCGTGGTGGTCACATGCACAGACCCGGACAGTCACTGTCCCAGTGCTGCTTTGAACTGGGTAGTCGTTGTCTGAAATGACCACAGGCAGGAGATAGGTGCTCATCTCGTGTCTATTATAGCCGTTTTTCCGAGTTAGGATTCCCGCTGTGTTGTCTGGAACCGGAAAGCAAAGTGGTCAATGTATGTGGATACCGTGTCATGTACTGGATCAGTTGTGATGGGAATAGATAGATAGAGATACAGATATAAATATATAGATGGAGAAGGTAACTTGGGCTCATTTACCTTTGTTGTCTTGAATGGTAAAGTTTGAGCCACTGGCTGCTTCAGGGGCCAAGGAGAATGAAAATTGGTGTCCGCTGTAAGGGTCGTCCTTGTCAATGGCTCGCAGGGTCTGAATCAACTAAAATCAAAACCATAAAGCTGTCACAAAGTTTTGCTAACTCAAAAATGTTTTTTACAGTTTTGCAGTAAATTGCTTGACTAAATGATTTCTAGTTTTAATTAAAAATTTATAGCCTCTAGAAAATTTACAATGAATCCACACTGTGCAAAAAACTGATGGGTTGGAAATGGAGCAAGGACAATCCTCTGTTGTGGGGGCTGTCCTGTGCACTGTAGGATGTTTAGCAGCAAGCTTGGTCTCCTCCCACTAGATACAAGTAGCACCCGCCTCCCACTAGCTACCTCCTAGCACCCACCCACCCACAATCAAAAGGGTCCCCCGAGGGGCTGGCGGGTAGCGTAGTGGTTAAGTTTGTGCGCTCTGATTTGTTGGCCTGGGGTTCCCAGGTTGGGATCCTGGGCGTGGACCTAGCACCGCTTATTAAGCCATGCTGTGGTGGCGTCCCATATAGAGTAGAGGAAGATGGCACGGATGTTAGCCCAGGGTCAATCTTCCTCAGCAAAAAGAGGAGGATTGGCAGATGTTAGCTCAGGGATAATCTTCCTCACCAAAAAAACATAATGTCCCTAGATATTGCCAAATGTCCCCTGGGGGGCAAAATCACCCTAGTTGAGAAACACTGCCATAGAGTGATACAAACATCACAATGATCTGTGACAACATTGCGAGTTAAGAAACTGGAGGCATTCTTTGGACAGCCTGTTCAGAAATGCAATCTTGGCATATACATAAGCCATCAACTTGCAAGAAAACTAAAAAGAAAATTTGTATGTAAAACACATAACTTCAGCTTCTCACTTAACGTGTATTTTAACAGTGCACTTCTGTTTTGACAAACTGTAACGTAATTTTTATATCACTGGCAGAAAAGGCCTGTTTCAGGTGGGGACAAATGTGTAAAACAGTAAAACATTCACAAGTTTGTATTACTTGTACAGATGGGCAATGTAAATAAGTGAAACTATGAATTATAGTCAATTGTAAAATATGTTCTAGTTATTACTTTCCAGTATATATGGTAATTTGAACTATCTTCTCACCAATAAAGATTTTTCCAATAAAGCTGTGACTAATCTGTTTTAGTGAAAACCTAAGACTGATTTGGAATCAGCATCAGTCTTTGAGACTGATGAACTTCCAGTTCTTAAAAACTGTTTGTTCTCTTATGCAAGTTACACATTCATCCTGGTTCTTATTTATAGTATTAATTTTGTTAGCATCCACTTCATAGATAATTCAAAACTAGGCCTCAGCTCTGTGTATCATCTGAATTATTAGAAGATCTAAATTAATCTGACGAAATTAATTTGCTTTCTTATGACACTCACCTGATCTGCTTTTGCTTTCTCACAGACAAAAGTTTCATAGAATTCAGCAAATTCTGGGGCATTGTCATTGACGTCTAGAACTTTAATATACAGAGGTACACGGCTGCTTTGCTTTGGATTATCTGCAACATGCCAAAAAGAAAGGAATAGGCATTTATATGTTGATCGCTGATCCCCTTTAGATAACAGTCACTCCCGCCTTATTTCTCATTCAAACACAGATTCCCCAAGGCTGCTGTGAGTAGCACAGGGCATTATGTACCAAAGTAGCCACAAAAAAAATAGAATTAGATCGTTTGGTACTTCTGGAGTTGGATACACCTGATGGAAATACCTAGGAGACAAAGATACTTGTATTGATGTAGCGCAACTGTGTGATAAACCCCAGAGTAACACAAAATAAAGAACAGTTATCTGGGAAGGCATTTTAGAGGTGGATTTTAAAGGAAGCCAAGGAAACAGGCAGATGGGAAAAATTTGGACACAAAGAAAAAGGGGAGGAAATAAAGGAGACCAAATTGTTGTTATTAGTCTTAGTTTTTTAGTTTGACTGTTGAATAAGAGCAAGACATTGTGCTAAGCACTTTGCTGTATTATCTTATTTAATCCTTACAAACTTCTGAGGCAGATAGTTATTGCCCCATTGTATAATGAGGAAACTGAGGCACAGATAAGTTGGGTACTTTTCCCATGTTCATAGATAAGAAGCAGAGTTGATATTCAAGAGTCTGTCTGACTCCAAAGCCCAGGCTGTTCATCTAGGATAATGACGGAGCAGCGTCAATGTTTGAAGACCTGAGATAACTGAAGTGTTCTGGCTGTCTTCTATGGTAATCTCCTGGCTTGTGTGGAAGACAGGTTTCTGACCTAGGAATCAGGAGTTAGAATCTCTCACCTCAGTTCTCTTCACTCACATGTCTGTTCATTCCTTGACTTCATAAATATTTAGTGAGAATCTAATACCTAAGATGTGCCAGCCACTATTTGGGGTTCTGGGACACATGGGGAACATAACAAAGGTCTGGCTTCCTGGAGCTTTATTCTGATGGGGGTAGACAAAATGTAAACGCAGAAATATATAATGTGTGAGATAGTAAATGTGTTGGAGAAATTAAACAGGGAAAAGGGATTGGAGAGAGATGGAGATGCTACTTTGAATGGGATGGCCAGGGATGGTTTCTCTGTTGAGATGCCACTTGTACAGAGACATGAATAGAGAGAGGATTAAGCCATGTGAATATTTCTGGCTCTCCAGATAGAGGAAACAGCAAGTGCAAAGGCTCTGGGGTGGGAGTGAGTTGGTTTTATACAAGCTCTTGGCTCTTGTTACATCAAAGGTAGTTGAGAAGTTTGGACAATAAGATTCTTAAGCTCTTTTGCATCTAAAATTTTGCTCACATTATTCTTCCAGTGTTAGAGCTGCTGAAGATGAAGTTTTAAAAGGTCTTTATCACCAGTACTTTCAAATATATCACAGAAACATTAAATCTTAAAAACAGAAATTTTTAGGCACAAAGCTTAAAATACACATGAAATGACTGCTTCAGTAAAAAATAAAATTTCATGATGTTATAAAAAATGATCCTTTTCAGGGGGAAATAATTCTGCAATTTTAAAGCTTTACGTATGCTCCGTCGTTGGTATCCACATTAGTCCTTCCACATAAATTCTGAAGAGCAAATTCCTACTTAACAAATTAATAATGAGGAGTTCTTATCACTGTCAAAAAGCAATGCTTCATTTTGTCCACATTGGTTATTTATTGTTCTACTCAATATCCTTCAGCCACTTCAAATCTCATGAGGTATGCTGACAAAGAACACTACTGTAGTATACCATTCAGTATGGAATATTTCACAGTAGATACCCAACTGAGTAAAAATATTTGAACTTTTAAAATCAAAAACAAAAACTAAAAAATGAGCTATAATTTAGAAGCCTATTTTTAAACATTTCAGTGTTATTTTAAAGATCTTTTTTCTTTTATATACTTAGGTCTACACATTGTGTTTACATTACACAATTTTCACTGTGTATAATCATGTTATTTGAAGCATTCTTTTGGCACTGTTTTTCTTTGCCTTAACTTTTATGGGAACTGCCATAAAATTCATTTTAAACGTTTTATTGATTACTTGGTGGTTTGTATTTCTCACTTTGGTGTACCATGGAAGAGTTGAAATTTATATCTCTTAATTCTGTAATGATTTTGAAATAGAAATTCTGTAGAAAGTGAGAGGATGAATATCCAAAATATTTCTAAATAATGTCTTCATTTTTGAATATACTTGATTTCCCTCCCCCCAATTCTAACATGAGCCCATTTTTTTCAGCTGCTTCTGTAATGTTCTGATTTATAAGCTTTTTGGAATCCAACATGTACTGATTTAATTTCATTTGAGAGATGCATTCCCATTTTGTCGTTTCCGAACTGCAGAACTTCCACAGTTGCCTCCGCATTTGTGAATAAACCAACACACGTCTAGAAGAACCATTACTGCAAATCATTACAGGGCTCTTTCCCTCAATATGTATCGAGCAGGACCATCAATAATGGTGACAAGTTTCAGCCGTGCTTCACCAGCCCATGCTGGGACTCTCCCTCTGTCACTCAGGGACGGCAGTGATATGAGGTGGGACTTACTGATCTCTGTTGCTATCACTGTAATGTTGTGCCACAGCAATGTTTCACGGTCAAGAAGTTTCGATGTAAAAATTGAACCATTTCCAGAATCAATGTTGAATATTCTGTCCATATCTGTGTGTCGATCGACAGAATACCTGAAAATGCAGAGTAGACTTTAAAAAAGTTTTCTTGGTATTTGCTATTCTCAAACCCTAAAGCTATTCCCAGAATATCTGTTACATGATTTTTTTCCTACCTGTAGCACATATTTGAATATCTATAACTTAACATTAAGCAAAATATTCTGAGAAATTAGTTCTTTACAATTGAAATCTTAATAGTAAATTCACTAGATAAGTTGCATAATTCTGAGTATCATCACTAAAGTTTATTTTTTTATATGTAATTTGGATCAAATTTGTGTAGTAATTGTTATAATTTAACTCAAGTTTTTAGAACCTCAGAACTTTAATGTGTGTGTGTGTGTGCATAAGTAGGATTATTGGATATTTTTCTATTATCCATTTTGTTTTAAAATTGTTAGGTTGAAAGAAGCAAAAGATGGCTAGTGTGGCTGAGTTAGTGAGGCAGGAGAGGGGGATAGGAGATGAGTGTGGGGAGGGAGCCACAGTCTGGACTATAGAAGGATAGGCTGGCCGTAGTAAAGAGTTGGGATTTATTCCAAGCACAACATGAATTTACCAGTGGATTTTAAACAAGGGAGTGTCACAATCCAAACCCTGCTTAACAAAGGTCACTGGTTGAATTGAGGAGAATGATTGCATGGTGCTGACACAAACTGATAGAAAAGGAGTGAAGAACAGGATTTAGGGAGGATCATAAGTTTCAGTTTTGATACATTGAGGCTGAGAAAAGTCTGCGAAGAGATATCTAGTGTGAAGGTCAAGATAAAGATTGGAACTAACAACCTAGATTTCCTATTCAACTGTCTAGGAAGAGAATGTCCAGGGAAGAGAGAAAATCGCTAAGGATGGAATCACTTAAAGGATGAACAACGGAGACCCACAGGTACTAGAAGAAGTGCCCAGAACAGAGTAGGAACGTAATCAATATTTAAGAAGGAGAGTTTGGAAAATTCAAAGAAAACCAAGAGTGGTGTCTTAGAAACCAAAGGACAGTCTTCAATACTGAAATTGATGGAAGACTAGTCAATTTTGAGAAATGTTATCTTCTTTATACATTTATTACTAGTTTTTGGAATAGCTATGCAAGGGGAAAAATATGTGTACACTCCGTTTTATGGGGGAACATTAAAGAGAAAACTCAGAAGAAAGTTGATGTTAAACCCATTAGGAACAAAAAATTGCCCATTTCACCTGGATTCTCAAAATTTATGTCGTGGTAGGAGATTTAAAAATGTCAGCTTGGTAGAAATACAATTTAAGTAAATGACCTAACTAGTCATACACGTGTGGAATTATTATGAACGCTCTAAGAAAAATAAACCCCTGTTACTAACTCGCGTTAGTGTACCATGTCCAAGATTCTATTTCAATTAATAATTTTGTTTTAAAATATAACTAGTGAATTATAATAAACAATACATTTTATCTTAATAAAATCTATTTTTTTCTCTAGCAGGAGATCTAAATAAAGTAGATATTCCATTATTATAGGCTATTTATGCCTGACTTTAAAGAGAATTAATGAAGTTCACAATGGATATCTATCTATCTATCCATCTCTCTATCAGGTTGGGTTAGAATTTTAGTTTCAATTTATATAAACCTAATGTTTTATTATCAAAATGGTTGAAACAGATGAAACAGCTATGGTTTTTGCCATTTCTGAATCAACATTTATTAAGAATTTAGTCCTAAGAGTTCTCATCATAAGGAAAAATCATTTTTTTCTTTCCTTTTTTTAAATGTCTATATGAGATAATGGATGTGAACTAAACTTATTATGATAATCATTTCACAGTATATGTAGGTGAAGTCATTATGCTGTACACCTTAAACTTATACAGCACTGTAAGTCAATTATAAAAAAAAAGAATTTTAGGCAACAGCATTGAACCTACTTGATTACTTTTCTTTGTTTTTAATTTGAGAATGGTAAATAATTAGGGCATATAATTAATTACCAAAAAGGAAATCTCAATATTCATAGACTTTGTAAGAAATGTAATAGTTATCTACAAATATATTTTTTCCCTCATGAAAAGTGTCAAGCCTAAGGCATGCTGCTCCTTGCCTTTATAAGCTGTTACAATTATATACAGCATTAATCTTCTCTTGTTCTTGGTCCCTTTTTTCCTGCTATAGTTTTAAGTTTTAGAAGTAATCATATTTTCCCATCAAGCCTTAAAATAAAGGGTGTGGGGTGAGGAATTTTTAGTTGAAGGCAGCTTTCAATTTTAAAGAGAAAATAACTACTTAGGAAATATCAAAATTGTATATATATTTTTTCCTTTAATTGGGAGATTTAAAAATTAATAGAAAACCTAAAATGTCTACATTGTTTAGGAAAGATGCTTGCACACAAAGCCTTATTTATTTATGGTTTTTCTTTCCAAAGTATTTTCAATTTATATCCAGGATATTTACTATCTAGTCACATTAACTGTAATCATAACTGATAAGGAACAGTTATGTAATCAATCCTACCATGATTGTAGCAAATTATTATGCTAGGTAGCTCTTTTTTTTGTTGTTTTTTTTCTGGAACTTTATTGTATTCTGTGATTCAACAATTTGTCTTCTAATATATCCTCAAGTCAGGAAGATTTGTCTGTTAGGAAAGAAAGTGTGTTTGCATGTAAATTTTTGATAATATGTATTCATAGTGACATTTTATAAGACTCTTTCATGGAAATCAAAGGTCATTTGTGATAAACTGATAAAGAGTGGAAGAAAAACATTTTATGTGATTAAAGAATTAAAGATTTGTGCCTGCATAATGATATATCAATGTTTGGGAGAAGAATTCTCTAGTACTAATTGTGCACCTAACATATTGTCTAGCACCTAGTTTTTCAATATTTATGTCTAGAATAACCAAAAACTATGTATGGATGTACTTTCTTAATATAAGAATCAATTTTATCTTATAAAAGGAATCACTGGAATATGCATTTTTATACCAATATATCTATGTGTATTTCTATCCTTAAATCTATATCTACATATCAAATCCATATGTACCAAGGGAGGGCTGGCAGAAAAAACTTCAAAATTAGTTGACAGCCAACCCAGTCTGACAAACTAACTACTTCCTTTCATAAAACATATAATAACGCAGAGGGTAAAAATGTATTTGGTATAAAAAGAAAAACAGACAGAAAAATACAGCCTAAATTCTCAGAAGACATTATCTTTTTCAACTAAAAACATGTTGACTTATCAAAGAGGTAACCAGAGCTCATATTTGTAAACTTCCAGCGTTAATACTTTTAAATTGATCTTGACATTGACTTGCTAAGATATTTTCCTTACGCAGTTAGAACAAACCCTTGAGAGAATAGTGAAAGTACTTAACATTCTTTGTGTTATACAAACAAAGGCCGTCATTCATTTTCCTTTCTAATAATATTAAATGTATATGGAGGAGCACTTGATCCATGGAGCTCACTCATGTCTGGCTACTCTGGGTTGTCCACAGTCCAATTTAAGGTGTCTATAGATGGTCTGATGGAATGATAACACAACAGAGTTATGTTATTGTAGTTATCAACTATTTTCCCAATGATTTAAAATTATTCCCTGAAAGTAAGCCAGGCATTTTTGTGTTTTAGATGTGGGACTTGCCATAAGGTTTCATTTGAACAAAGGGCTCAATGGCTAAAAAGTTAGAGTTAGTTGAGTTAGAGCCTCAAACTCTTTTTATCTGAAGCAATAGTCTTCATCCAGCAGCCAGTGTGATCCTTTTAAAAAGTAGTTTTGGATTAGGTAACACTTCTACTCAAAGCTCTCCAGTGACTTCTTACTTCAATCAGAATAAAATCCCGTCTCTACCAGGGCTTACAAACCCCAGTAAGACCTGCCACACTCACCACCTAACAAACTTCCCTGTTGCCTCATACCTACCCCTCTCTGCCTTGCTCACTCCCTTCTAGCTGCATAGGCCTCCTTGTAACTCCTTCTACATGCCACACAAGCACTGGGATCAGACCTTACCCTTGCTTTTCCCTCTTCTTGGAATGTCCTTCCCCCAGGTATCAGCATGGTTCATCCCTTCCTTTCATTCAAATCTTTACTCAAATGATTTCCTACCAAGGCCGAGCCTGACCACACTATCTAAAATAGTGCCCCAGAGACACTTTGTTTCCATACTCTGTCTTATTTTACTGTGTACAATTTATTTTCACCTGACATATTACATATTTGTTGTTTGCTTATTTCTATCTGCCCCAATTAGAATGTAAGTTCCATGAGATCAGGACTTGGTATTGTTCTCTGTTGTATCCCTAATGCCTAGAACATGATTGGCACATGGCAAGTGCCCTGATCAGAATATATTTTGTGGGCTCACTGGCAAGAGTTCCTCTAGCTTCTCAGGCTGTTTACTTTCCTTATGGGGAGTAATTTACACAGTGATATTCTGGTTTAGCCCTTTTCTCATCTAGTCAACTAAGCTACTGGCTAAAGGCTGGAGGTTAGTTTCCTCCAGCGCTTTCATGAGAAGATCCTAGAAAACTGAAGCATCAGTGGTGTCAAAGAGCAATGAGGCTTTCTTGCAACGTGATTTACAATTATAGTGGAAGGAAAGTACAGGGAAAATAGAGTTTGCTTATATACTATAAATTTGGATTCTGCTCTATTAATTTTCCCAGGAGTTCACGGACATATCATGAAATAGTTCTTGTTTTTATCCACATCTGCAAAAGAAAACAATTATGCATCCAAAAGGTGCATAATTCTGCCTGTAAGTGTTACATGATAGGTTCTTCCATGACTGAAAAACAAACTCTCAAGCCCAGTGCCTTGTTTGTTAAAAATCACAATGCTTTCTCCATGCCACTCTTTGACAAATTTAAGACCTTAAAAAAAAAAATCCCGGGTCATTCAGCTGCGTTACCTTGTCTGACTTCTATGCAGGAAGTAAACTCCTTATAGCTCATTTTATGTTTTTTTCCCTTCAATTTTGTGTTTTTTAGGTTTATGCTGCCACTAAAATAATATTTATGTTGAGCAAGAAGAGTGAAGGTGCTATTTAGTGTAGTTTTTCAGGAAGATACAACTGTCTAATTAGGAAAAAAGGATTCATTTTTTCCAACTTGCAGGTGGGTATTTGAATATAAATTGACTGACACTTGTGAAAGAGACATGTCACAGAAGTGTGCTTACTTGACAGGATTCCTGGCAGCATCTGGATCTTGGGCTGAGACCGAGCCTATTGTCATGTTTATCTGAGCATCTTCTCTTATTTGTAGGATGTAGGCCAGTTTGCTGAAGACGGGGGGCTCATCTACATCTTCCACCATAATTCTAACCGTGGCTGAATCTTTGAACGGACCCAGGTAGAGAAAGCGGGGTTCAACGTGAGGATTGGAGGCTTCCACTTTGAGGGTGTACACTTTCTTCTTTTCAAAGTCCAAGAGCTTGGGAGGGTGGGGAGAAGTGACATATTTATAGCAGCCAAGACACAGAAAGCCAAGACACGAACCACTTTTAGTGCAAATCACTGATACATGAATGTGAGTATATGGCGTAGAGACATCACTACAAAGTGTGATATTGGGTAAAGACATGGGAGTTCAGAGGCCACACGATCCCACTGAAAGTGTGGGCTGAAATCGTGCTTGTCGTTGCCTTGAAAGTGGGTGCAAGGTATAATGGGCAGGAAAGGGAACCTGGAAGCAGGAGGCTGTTTGACCAGCCTCTCTTTTAAAAAAAAAAATCCTTATATTTGACTAGAGGGAGCCATGCCAGGGGCAAGTTGGCAAATATGTAGTAGATTATTCTGTGTCAGATGTTGTCACATTTGGCTTTAATTAAACACCTAACGAGTGTTTAAAATTTGCCAATATCTGGGCCCTAGCCTGGACCATTAAACCAAAATATCTGGGCTGAAGATGGGAATCTAGACTTTTAAACACCTCCCCTCGTGGTTCTAATGTGCAGCCAGAATTGAGGACCACGGGTTTGCCTCATGATTCCCTCTTCCTCATTGAGATAAAATAGATTAAAAAATGTTTTTTTTTGTATAAAGTGATAAAATATTCCAAGTGATAGCCTGATAAGGGCATTGGGCTAATTATTTGCCAAAGAAAGTCACGATCGTTGTTGTCAGAGGTCTTTAGGAAAAGTATCTCTGTTTCCGGAGACAGAGTGAACCCAAATGCTTATTGCTGACTTTTAGTTTTAGATGATAATATGACAAGGCTCACTAGAAACATAATTAATCAAGATGTTAGTGAATGTGATTTAGTCGGCTAGGCAAAATTTCAGGTTGAATCTGATAAAGCACTAAGAAAATTAAAAAGGTTAATGCACACTAATGGGCTTCCTAATTATATTATAGTATAAAACATTGGTCTGAGTGTCACTTAAACATGTTTTGTTGTGTTTCCAGATATTAAGACATGTAATCCAAAGCTTAAGAGGAAAAAATTTTCTTGCTATTTACGTCCACCTCTGCTTATATTTACCAGCAGATATAAGAGTGTGTTAAAGGAGAGAGAAGATATTACACCATACATGATAAAAGTGAAATCATTTAAAAAAGTGACCAAAGTTAATAGAAACTTTTAGCTTTGAGGCACATGGTTTATTGATTTTAAATTCTTGCCACACTTTTGTATACTGCTCTATGGTGCTAGACAATTTTGGGGGGTAAATAGTGAATAAGTACATAGGGGAAAAATAGGAATTCTGAATATAAAAGATTCATTATTGTATTCCAAAATAATGAATAAGTACCTAGGGAAAAAATCGGAATTCAGATTATAAAATGTTTTTTATTGTGTTCTAAAAAGTAGCTAAAGAGCTTGCAGCAAATTTGTGTTACTTAGTTTATTTTTGTGGTCTTTATATATCCTGTCTCTCTAATTCAGGTCATCTTTATCGCTACTTGTATTGCTCTTTTCCTTCAAAGCATATATCAGAATTTGTAGTCATAGATGTTTGTTTATTTACTTCCTTGTTTCTTTTCTCACTATGTTGGAAGTTCCATGAGAGCAGAGACCATGTTGTTGAATGTACTATTTCCCCTCCAGTATCTAGAACACTGTCTGGTAAAAACAGTAAAAACACTGTTTTTAAATTTATTATTCATTTACATTATTAATTTATGTACTTTTGTGTATATCAATTGTTCATATTATTTATTTACTTAGGAGTTTCTTAATAAAAGTTTATTGAAAGTGTGAATTAGTGAATGCATAAAATTACTGAGGACCCCGGAAAGCCAACCAAAGAGATCTCAGTGTTATTAGACTTGGCGTTTTAAAAAATAATTAGTAAAACAAGAATCTAGAGGAATGTCATGTGACATGTAATTGCCTCCAGTTACTCGGGGACCAGAGAAAAGTTAATGCATCCATTTGTATGATATTAACAGATGGCATTACCTTTTTGACAGTTATAATCCCTTCCTGGGTTTCCTGGTCAGTGACGATATCAAACATGTCCAGTCCCTCTCCTTCTGTAATGCTGTACTCAATTTCAGCATTTTCTCCTATGTCGGCGTCGCTGGCTTTGATCCTGCCGATTTGTGTACCAGGTGGAGAAGATTCAGGGGTTTTAAACTGGTATGTACCTGTTAATCACCAGACACATATAAGTCAAACACAGACTAAGTATACTCCATCATAGTAAAAACAAAACCCATTTTCTAACAGTTCTTTCAGATATTACCATGAATGCAGGCATATTTGTGCTTTCCTTAAAATAATTAATGGTGCCCTATTCTCCTTACATCTTTACTTTCATGATTGTTAAGAATATTTCTTCTATTTCATGACCTGTCCCTTTGCAAATGGAGAATGCTTTTCTTGCCCTGTAAATAGGCTTCCAAGTTTATGGTGTGATTGTGAGACTGAGAGTGGTGGTGCAGAAGATTTCAAAGTCCCCTGTTAACATAATCTAGCAGAAAGAATAGAAAAGAATGTAACCTGAACTGTGACTTTAAGCCAATTGCTAGGTATTCTTTAAAAGAGTTCTTTCTGTCATTGCTAATAATAACTGAAGGTGAAAATAAATTACAGCAATTTGGAGAATGTATCTAAGTAGATGTTCTTTCACCAGTACATGGAGCTGGTCTGGTTGCAGTTAGGAATATAGATAAATATATTGAGAGATAAAGCTCTTAATTTTTTTCTTTTGACTATTTTTTTCAATTTTATTACAGTATTTTTTCTATGTATAGATTTCTCTCATTCTTATATTTATATTACGAATTAAAAACCTATATTTCATAGATATACACTTATCTTTTGTGCTTGTGTTGCAAAATTACCTTAAGGAAACTACATGTGAGTTTCAATTTAGATCTGCCAGGCCAGCATGTACTTAGGACCAAACTTATTCTCTCATCCATTACATTTTGCCAACCATTTGTGAAAATTATTTCGGAAAAATTTAGACTATGACATGACTAAAATATAGTTGTTCAATATCAATCCACTAAATATTGGGCTCATCCTTGGTAAAATGATAAAACAGGCCAAGTTTTTCTCTAGAGGTATTCTCCCCTCTCTTGCCTGGGTAGATTATCCTGTAAAGATCACAGGCTATCCAAGGAGAGAGCAGAGTGAGGTATGATCCCTGTCGTATCAAGGTGGGGGTGAATTCAACATGTCATTTCCATATTGAAAAGGAGGTTTTTGGGTAAAGTGTTGGTGGTGATCCTGATTATTTTCATTTCAGGCCTCTGTGAGGGGAAATTTTAGGGTTCATAAAACCTTTCTTTTACCTTTTCAGTCAGAAATTAGTTAGCTATTCTGTTTTTGCATTTAGCTAACTGTGATCAAGTATTTGAAAAAAGTAAATAAAACTCTTTCCGATTGACCCACGTGTATCTCCATTATAAAAGAAGCCCATATTAGCTGACCAGCTCTAACGAAGTGCCACGATTGAGTACGTGGGTTTTCTATTGAATGAGGGGCAGCTATTCTCTCCTGGAAGATAGAATTGAGTAATTTTCTTAGGATCATGGTCAGAAAAGAATTTTGTTCCTGGAAGAAAAATTACATTAAAATCAGTAGCCACTTGAGGTGCTCTATGTGCAATGGTCTAGTGTACTGCTTGACACAAAATGGGCGTTTAAGAATGTTGTTTTTCCTTCCTTTCCTTCCTATCCAATCATGAGAGTTAATGATTTTAGAGATGACTTTTGGTATCTCAATTAACTGTAATGTAGGAAACTATTTATGATTACAAATGGATTAAGTACATAGTTATTTCCACAGTTGTATTTTTAGAAACAGTAAAATGATAAATCCTCCCCTTAGAAAGCTTCGTGAGGATTTAACAGAGATTACATGCCTGATTAAATTCACAGAACATGAAGTCAAATTTTTCCTAACAATCAGCAGCGTGCTTGATACATATGATCTGCGCAAGCAAATTTATGTCTGTGGTAGTCTTTTTAATAAGGAAAAATAAAACAATGATGTTGCCTTTACAACAACAGCCATATCAGAAATTGCTCAGCTAATTACTAATACAGGAACATAAATGTTCACATCTATGGAGCATAAGCATTGTCACCTCATTTTTAATAACGTGCCGGTTATTACGAAGTTCACTAATTTTGACAATAATGGAAAATAAATATCATTCTTAAAGTTAGAGTTTAACAAAAGTGCACTGAAGAAACTCATTCAATCAAATGTTCCTACTCTGAGGAAACCGTGGAGGGTTGTCATTGACGTCAGTCAGAGTGATGTTCACTGTGGTGGTCCCAGATAATCCCCCCATCTGGCCGCCCATATCCTTTGCTTGAATCACCACTTGGTACTGCTCCCTGTTTTCTCGATCCATGTTGAGCAAAGCTGTCTTGATGACACCTATGGATATGAAATTCAGAAGTGCAAATGGATGTATTAAAAATACTTTATGGAATCATTTATTTATGCAAACATAGACAGTCACCCACAATATGCAATGTCATAAAGATGATTATATACAGCCTTTAGACTGAAGGAAATTACAACCACACAGGGGAGATAGATGCATTAAAAAGAACACCATAATACAAGGAGAATGAGAATAAGTACAAGTCAAATCCTGCAACAGTATAGACTATAAGTAGCATAAATATTAAGTGTTTTAAAATGATATAGCAAAATATAACTTGGCATGTGATACAATGCTGTACTACTTTAGCTGCTTGATAAAAGACATTTAGGTGTATTATGAGGAAATTGTTAAGAAAGCCATATAATTGACCTGACTCTTGAGTTTCACTTTATTAAATTGGCTAATTACTCATCAAATATGCCCATCATAATGAATGTTCTGAGGATTTTTAAACCACAAAACTATGGTCTTAAGAAAATACAGCATCAGTTCTCTCATAATTATCATCGTGTATGATCCTAGAGAATTTAAGTTTTCCTAAAGCTGATGTGAACATTAGTTCAACTGGTCCCAGCAGTGACCAACATTCTTAGGTTAAATTTCTCTCTATTGTTAGGTAGTTATAAAATAATCAGTTGAAAGAACTTCTAAAAGTTTGCCTAATCTCTATGTAGGGTTTATGCTTAAATTAACAACATTCTTTCAAAAATCATTGGAGAAAGCTTATAACCTTCTCTGGTAGCACAGTCAGTGCTTAACAACTAATGAAGCTGATAATATCTTTTTCAATTTTTAACGAGAATACTTCAGAAAACAGGTTATTTTTATTCCTGTAGTTCTGGCTTCAGTGAAAGTGCAGCTTCTTTCTGTTCTAAAATAATAGTACTTCTCTATTTAACACAGGAGACCACCTTAGCCTTGTGTCCGTTAAGTTGAATAATTCTAATTTTCCACCCTCATTGTTTTTCAACTCAACATTTTCTTTCTCCTTGAGATTCTTTCTAAGTTCATTGCACCTCTTAATACATCGATTTCTAAATGGATGTAGTAACCTAGAATGGTTTTGATTTCTACTAACAATAATGGATACTTGAAAAATGTATAAAAGGAACTTGGCTCCTATTATGATAGCAAAAATATGTGCAGAATTTACTAGACAGTACAAACAATATTTACTGAAAAATGATTCCTTGTAAAATAGTATGATAGTTTGTGGAGAGAGTACAGAAAAATGAGATATTGAGAAAGGATTCCATGAAGGCAATCCACTTTATTTGGGCTGTATCAGTTAGCTAGGCTAGATAATGAGGTGGTAACAAGCAGTGGAAACAAATACAAGTAAAGTTTATTTTTTGCTCATGCTCGGAGCAGGCCAGCAGGAAGCTATGCTCATGATAACACACAGATTTCCAGGCTGGAGATGCATCTCAACAATGGTTTCCATCCATGATTGCTGTGGCAAGAGGAAGGGAACATGGTGGCTTGTGCACCAGGTCTAAAAGTTCCACTTGGAAGTGACTCACGTTGCTGCCACATTTTATTGGCCCAAATAAACCATATGGCTCCATCTAGCTTCAGAGCAGGATAGAGAGATGCAATCTTACCAAATAACTAAAAAAAGGAGAATTGGCATATTTGTAAAAAGCCCTAATGGCTATCAGAAGGAATTGATCTTTTAGCTTCATCCCAAACTGGAAGAAAAAATAAAGCAATATATAATTTTTCTGAATCTACCTTATATAAACATGGTGGGTTTTATAAGATCTATTGTCAAATTTCTTAATTAAAATGATCTGGATATCATGTTCACAGATATATCACTGGTGTTTGGCAGACAAATCTAAGCAAATTCAATCATGCTGATTGTTTTCATTAAAAAAATGTGCTAGCGGGCCGGCCCAGGGTTCCCCTGGTTTGGATCCCGGGCGCGCACTGACGCACCTCTTGTCAAGCCATGCTATGGCGGCATCCCATATAAAGTGGAGGAGGATGGGCACAGACGTTAGCCCAGGGCCAGTCTTCCTCAGCAAAAAAAGAGGAGGATTGGCAGATGTTAGCACAAGGGTGAGCTTCCTCACACACACAAAAAAAGATGTGCTAGCTCAGCTGAGTGTGTCAATTAAAATTACAGATTGTAAATAGAAGATGAAAAAGGAATTCTAACCTGTCTCTGATTCAACTGAAAAATAGGGCTGCCCCTGTAGAATACTATAGACAACTTTAGCACTGTTTCCATACGTTGGATCGTCAGCATCAGTTGCAGTGACTTGGACAACAAATGTGCCTGTAATGACAGAAATATGAATTGAAAATAAATTAAGGGTCCATTACAGATCCTTGATACATACACATAAAGAAAAAGCACGATCTTACTTTTGTACAAAACTATCATAGCAAGGGAGTGGAGGACTTCACTAGGATACTAGGTTATAAAGCCTTGGATTTCTCACTCTGAAGGAATGTGATCAATTTATAAACATGGTAAGGATTAGGTTAAAGAGATGCATGAGAATGACCACGACTTTGGGTGGAACTGATTCCAACCCATCTCCAAGGGTGAGATTTGATTTGATTCTTGCTACGGTGATTCTTTCAAGTTATCCAGGCCTAAGTCAGTCGGCATCTTGCATTAGTTTGTCCACAGGGAATAGTTTAGGGGTTGTCCAATCAGTAGGCCACTCATGATCTTGCTGGAAATTCTATGGCATAGGTGCTCTTTCTCTTGGACTGTAATGTGCTGATATGGAGCCTGACAATGCAACAGCTATTTTGTGACCTTAGAGATGCCAGCCTGAGGACAAAGCTGAAAAGGACAGAAAATGACAGAGAAATAGCTAGAACCCAAATCAAACCATGTCCAAAGCACATTTTACTTCTGGACTTAAGTAATGTGACCCATAAATACTTTTATTGTTTAAATGAGTTTGAGTTGGGTTTTCTGTTACTTGTAAGTGAAAGCATCCTAACTGATAAATCTACCTGATAATTCTAAGATATTGAAAGGTTTTGAACCTTTAAAAGGGGTAGTTTTGGATTAAATAAATAATTAACTGGGGCCAGCCTCATGGCCTAGTGGTTAAGTTTGGCACGCTCCACTTTGGCAGCCATGCTATGGTGGCTACCCACATACAAAATAGAGGAAGACTGGCAACAGATATCAGCTCAGGGTGATTCTTCCTCAGCAAAAATAAATAAATAAAACAAATAAATAAATAAATAACTGGATCAGCAAAGCCTATGTATCTGGAATCTGTAATTCTAAAAGATGATTTTAATTAAATGCACAAAAAAGGCTATGATATTTTAGATCAGCATTCTCATTTTAGGAACCACAGTTGCCTAATAACCTTCAAAGTATCTCTAACCCCCATGAAATTTCATGCAAATTTTTATGTGCATGCCTACATGTATATTTCATTGAAGAGCAGTTCCATAGATTTTTATCTGATTCTTAAAGGGGTCTGTGACTTCTGAAAAGGGTAAGACCCTCTGATGAAGATCATTTTATGGCTGACTTTTGGTATTCATATCAGATAAATGGTAAACATACTGCTAGAGTTCTCCCATCTATGAAAAGGGCAGGGAAGTTACATTTAGGGAATATTAGAATTTTTCCTTTGCTTTTGTAATATCTAACCAATTCCATTCATTGAACAAATATCTCATACTGTGTTAGGGTTGGATGCTCTGGATGTAGCATGTTGATGCATGGGATAGAGCACCCATCCTTGTAATCTGGCAAGAGAGGTGGGGAGAAAGAGAGAACCATATGATTTTAGAGTGAGAGCTAATAGTAGAAGTCAACAAACACCCTCATTCTTATTTGACATCAATACAAAATTTGATTGCCTTTAGAATACGATTATCTGGACGTTTTGAGTGTCTCTTAGTTGCCAGATATTGTATTGGGGGCTCTGCACTTGTTTTCTCATTTCATCCTCATGACTACCATTAGGAGTTGACATTTATTATTTATTTTTTATAGATATGAAACTGGAGGATCAGAGAAATCAAGTCATTTACCTAAGGCCACATTGCTGCTTAGTAGTAGAGATAGTTTCAAACTCAGTCTGTTTGACACCAAAATCCATTTATTTCACCCTACTGTTGTCCCACTACCTTTATGTAATTGCTTAAGATGCCTTTATATATCAGAATAATGACGTTAATTTATGACAATGATGAATATGAACATAACCGTGCCTGTGTGCAAATTAGAAAAAGTCTTCCCTTTCTCAAGACATGTTACTGCCAGCTATCCCCAAATATTTGTAATGTATGTTTAATTCTATAATGGTTTCAAAAGGGAATGACACCCCTATAGTTGTGCCGTGACAATTTGCATATCTGGTTATGGTTGCCCTGGGTGGTGCTGATGATGAGACTATCCTTCATTAATTCTTCCTGCCTTTCACCACCTAGAGGAAAAAATATTTTTCCTAACAAATCTTCCTCTTAAAAGAATTCTAATCCCCCTCTTTTCTTTGTTGATGGTTTGTGATTTTTCTAACAAAACAAAGTGGCTTCAAGTAATGAGATGAGCAATTTCTTCACAAGAAAAATTTAGATGGTTTAGAGTCATTTCCATGGATTAGGTATTTTCCAAGTGTTGGAACTGTGAACTAAAAAGGCTCTGATATCTGACTCACAAAATTGTAGAAGAGTTTTTATTATGTAATTTAGCCCTTCTGAATTTGACAGAGTGAAAATAAAAATAACCCTTTATACAAATAGTTTAAAATTTGTCACTGTCTCTCATGAAGTCTTTTAATGTGGGTAAGAGTGATGTTACCAGAATTTTTTTCTTAATTTAAATTCTGTTTTCCTTCTCCCAATCTAAGCAAATTAAATGCATACATATTAACTTCAAAATTGGTAGCAGAATTGTGCACAAAATATTAATTCACCATATTAATGTCATGAAAGTCTCTTAATTTTCACCAATTAGTAAAGGATATATCCCCTAGACATCATCTGCCTATTGTTTATGGATTAAAAAAATCTATTTCTTTGAGTCTCTTTCCCAAATATACAGTTACTTAAAGCAACTCCCATTACTCTTTAGTCTGGACTATAAATCCAGGCTTTTGTTTTCCAATGGGGAGATCCTTACCTGGAGCCTAATTCCAACAGGGGCTAAGAGAAATAGAAAAGGCTGCTGTCTTTCAGCCCAAGAAATAGAGTGGGAATTTGGAGTGGGAGAGGTAGCAGATGAGATGGTCTCCCTTTCTTCCTCCCATTCTCACCTTGCTACTTTTCATACCTCATCATTAGAGGAAATGCTGTTTTCTTAAAAATAATCATAAAATGAGACTAGAGTAATATTAAGAAACACAAGTGCCCTTACAAAAAAGACATATATGATGATCAAAAAGATAAGAAATAACAAGTGTTGGCAAGGATGTGGAGAAAAGGGAACCCTTGTGCACTGTTGCTGGGAATGAAAATTGGTGCAGCCACTATGGTAAACAGTATGGAGTTTCCTCAAAGACTAAAAATAGAACTACCATATGATCCATCAATCCCACTTCTGGGTATTTATCCAAAAAAATGAAAACATATATGCACCCCTATGTTCATTGCAGCATTATTTACAGTAGCCAAGATATGAAAACAGCCTAAGCGTCCATCAATGGATGAATGGATAAAGAAAATGTGGTATATGTGTACAGTGGAATATTATTCAGCCATAAAAAAGAGTGAAATCTTGGGGCTGGCCCGGTGGTGTAGCGGTTAAATTCAAGCGCTCAGCTTCCGTGGCCTGGGGTTCACAGGTTCAGATCCTGGGCACAGACCGACACACTGCTTGTCAAGCCTTGCTGTGGTGGCGTCCCATAAGTAAAGGAAGATGGGCACAGATGTTACCCCAGGGCCAATCTTCCTCAGCAAAAGGAGGAGGATTGGCATCAGATGTTAGTTCAGGGCTAATCTTCCTCACAAAATGAAAAAAAAAAAAGAATGAAATCTTGCCGTTGGCGCAACATGGATGGACCTTGAGGGCATTATGCTAAATGAAATAAGTCAGACAGGGAAAGACAAATACCACATGATCTCACTTATATGTGGAATCTAAAAAAACCCAAAAAACAAAAAGCCAAGCTCATCAATACAGAGAAGAGATTGGTCATTGCCAGAGGCAGTGAGTAGGGGGTGGGTGAAATGGGTGAAGGGAGTGAAAAGGTACAAACATCCAGTTATAAAATAAATAAGTCATGGGGACATAATGTACAGTATGGCCAGTATAGTTAATAATACTGTATTACATATTTGAAAGTTGCCAAGAGAGTAAATCTTAAAAGTTCTCAATACAAGAAAAAAAATTCTGTAACTATATATGGTGACAGATGTTAACTAGACTTATTGTAGTGATCATTTTGCAATATATACAAATATAAAATCATTATGTTGTACACCTGCAACTAATATAATGTTGTATGTCAATTATACCTCAACAAAAAAATGGACATATATGGACTGTTTGAAATAGGATACTTTTTGAATTTAGCATCCAAATTCATTCAGCTCAGTAAATTTCACTCATAGGATTCTTTTTTCAGTTGATAGACTAGAGGAGGAACAGTGGATGGCTGAAGTCACATCTCACTCACCGACATCAGACATTTCGGGAACAGTGGCCGTGTAAACCTCCTTGGTAAATATTGGCTCGTTGTCATTGATGTCATGGATCTTGATGATGAATTCAGACTCAGGCTCCACAGGTCTCCCTGTCCTTCTGTTTATAGCTTGAGCTCGAAGGATGTACACGGGTTTTTCTTCCCTGTCTAGCCTCTTGGTGGCCTGTATGTCCCCTGTGTTTTCATTGATAATGAAGAGATCTCCTGCTCCATCTCCTGAAAGGATATATTTAAGTGATCCATCTCCTCTATCCTGGTCTGAATGTAACTAGTGTAGGAAAAAAAAATTAAAGAAGGTAAAAGTCACGCATGTGATCCTAAACCGTTTTTGTCTTTACGATACATGGTCTGTTAACTTTCATTCAATCCTCTCTAGGAGGTGCAAATTTTTTTCTTTTCTGTTTACTTAAATTGTCTATAGTAAATACCATTCATTAATGAATATGTTTCCTTATAATCATAGAAATTTGTAGAATAGGGCTTGGAGAAAATTCGGTAATACATTTTTTTTTCTCACCCATGACCTGGGGTTAGAATCCTTGTTTTGAAAAAGAGAAAACTAAAGTCCAGAGCAACAGCTAGATGCCCAAGGACATATTAGCCTGGCTGGAATGCAACTATTTTCACTACAACTTTCACGTTCTACTAATACACCCTCCTCCTTGCTTTTATATACATGGACATACTAGAGAGGGGAGATACTATTGAGAAAAGGATTTTGGTTTTTTGAGTCAGAGAGACCTGGGTATATTCTGTCTCTACACTTTCCTGTCTTGGTGAATTTAGGGAAGCTAGTCAACCTCCTTGAATCTAACACGGTGGAGTTTATAATCGCTTTTCCGGGAAGATGTGACATTTGTTTACTTCTTTATGAAATTCAACTCAAACCATTTGAGAAACATCTTAAGTGTTGCCGTGAGCAATGCCTTGAGAATTCCTTGACTAGATAATTTACAAGGTCACCTGGAACAAGAACATTTAACACTCGGATTTTGGTTTAACATAGGCAAGGACCTTCCAAAAAAGTGGAACCAGCCTAAAATGGAATAGCCTGCCTTCTGAAGTAGTGGATTCCCTGGTCCTGAAGGTAACAAAGCAGAGGCTCTGACAAGATGAACTGTCAATGAAGTGGGTCCAGGTAAAGGATTGAGTTAAGTGAACACAAAGATATCACTGAAGTGGGAGACGATGATCCTAACTTGGGAAAGTAGCCCATGTTACCTTCCCAAAGCTGATTTCCACAATGTGGACTTGCTGTTGTTTCCTTTGATCCCTTTTTCCCACCCTAGCAAGGTATCTCATAGGTCGTCAGATCATCTAACCCTATTTACAAATTTTTCAAAAAAGTGTTTTTTATAGAGGAGAACTATTTTTAACCCCCCATTATAAGTATCAGCCACATACAGACAAGTTAGTTTTCTTGGGAAGGCTGCTCATCCCTACCCGATTTCAACTCCATCTAAATGGAGTAACGTGGGCCATGTTACAACAATAACAGTGAAAACAGTGACAGGTAAACCAACTCTGTGCCCTCTTCATTAACACTACACGAAATGCTCAGGGTAGTGTCTACAAACACACTTGAAAAGAGAATCTCAGGGCAAAAGGGACTTTTAAAATCAACTAACCAGCCTTTCTAAAAGTGTATCCCATTGAATATCAGTTATACAAAATGATATTCCTGAGGAAAAAGGGTTCCGTGGCCCAATACATTTGGGAAGTACTTCCTATTCTGCCTCTTTCTTGGACTTGCCTGGTGCCCATTAACATAATAAAGGCTGTGAGTGCCTACAGTTCAAAACTGTACTTGACTTTATTTAATCTAGCTTTCCTGAACTTTCTTGTATAAAGAATCCTTTTTGGGTGTGACCCATAATGATACCCTCCATTACAGTTTTCCATTTCCACTTAGGGAAATATGAGTTAATTGAATCTATCACTGTAGAGTCAAGAAAACTGAGGCTCCAGTTTATATAGTGTTCCCAAAATCACACAGCTCATGTGAAGGAGTTGGAGGATTAGAACTTGAGCCCAAGAAGAGGCCATATAGATTATATGCTGCAACCTCCTCGTTTTTAGAGATAGGGAAACCGTGTCCGATGCCACACAGCTAACGCCACTTAGTAGCAGAGCTTGAGGAAGAGAATATTACTCATACAATTAGTAGCCTTGAAAGCAATTTGGCAGAAATTATGGAAGATAAATGAAAATGGAGAGGAAATTGCTTAGAAGTGAGACAAATGCAATAAGCAGTGTAAAACAAGGGCGCTCCATGATTTGTGTAATGCGATATGCTAAGGAAACATTGAAACCGTGATTACACAGAAAGAGACACTGGGGAAAGTTTAACTCTCCGTCGTCAAGTTCTAATTACTGAAGAGTGCTTTAAAAAAGCTATTTCATTAAGTCGTGAGTAACGAAACAATGTCACTGCCCATCGGATCGGCTCCAGGGCAGCCATGGTTAGCAGCCTGGCACAATGCTGGGGGCACCGCACGCAGACGCCCAAGAATGGGCTAGGCTCGTTCTGTCTCACTCACCAAATAGAAGATTGTAGCTCAGTCAATTAACCTCCCTGTGCCAGGATCCTTATCAGTAAAATGAGGATAATAGAGCTCCAGGAGAAGGCTGTCATGAAGATCTAATTAGGGACTATATACAAACACTACATTAATCGCTACCTAAATGTGATAAAAGCACGATATATGTTTTATAAATTATAAAGCATCTTCAAAATTTAAGATATTGTTACTATTATTAGCCCTTGGTTCATTATAAGCGTGTTTTCGCTCTTATTTTGACTTTGAGAACTTTGTTTTGAGGACTTTGAAAACCCAATTTTACAAACACACAGTATCTCTAAGGTAAAATCTGTTATCAAAAGCCAGTATTCTTCTGCCGGGTGGCAACTGCTGTCTTTCCATGTGATTTATTATATTTTGCATTCCACTAGATTATAGACTCCCCCTGGCCGGTACTTTCATCACTTTTGATATGTAACTGTTGCACACTTAGTAGGTGAATACCACATCTGGCCACAAGATTTATTCAGGTAAAAGTAATCAGAAACTTATTTTTGGCTGTCAGGAGAGACCATTTTGATGACTTATAGAACAAACACCCGAGACGATATAAAAGGGCAGCCCAGATGCCAGCTAAGAGTGTGAACAGGGATTGCTCTGCAGATCCCAATTCTGATTTATCAATATTTGAACACTAGTGGGAAAATGCATCTCTTCACTCAGGCAATGTATGATAATAAAACAATTTAACCTTGGCCCCCTGGAAGTGCAGTTTCTGCATCTGATGGAGTGCACAGAGCAGAAAGCTCCAGAAGCCTTTGTGTGACATTCTTTCCCCACTCTCTTCCCCTTCCATTGAACTCCCCTGGGGCCAGTTCTTTTCTCTCTTCTTGGGGAAAACAGAAAACATTAGTGCTGGGGAAAGCAGTGGTGACAACCAGACATTAGGGGTTTATTGAGCACTTAGATTTTAATTGGATTTTTTCTTTTGTGATGTCATTCATCATGGCCACTGTAAAAGGCAGAAGTTAAACAACAACAAATAAAAGGTTGTAGGCTGCCCAAGGCATGTTTTTACTAATTTCAGTTTAATGTGGCTGTTCCATTAAGTTTAATCATCTGGTTCACTTTTAACAATTCACCATCAAGTAAAAATTATCCACTTCCTTCAGGAAGTCACATCTCATCTGGGGCTGGCAGGACTTTTTAATACTGTACCTGTAGCATTGTGTTCCAGAAGGAGCTCTCGGTTTCTGTTTTTCTGTTGATTGATTATTATTTTTTTAAGTTCAGCCCCTTGACAAATACACACAGGGATTTGGGGTTGTAGACATGGCCCCATGGAGGGTGTCACCAAAGCAGGGCCAGCATCTTTTTACCTGCTGCATGTGCTGACTCTCAACTTGATTTTGACTCCAATTCAAAGGTATAACACTAATTGTACAGGTTTTTAGTGGTTTATGAAGCTAGCTAACGCTGCCCCATTCTTCCCATTACACATACACATAGGTATGTGTCACTGAGTCACTATCAGGGTCAGTAACCAAACTGAATCTTCTAAGCATATGCATCATTGAGACAGAAAACAGAATCTAGGGGCCAGCCCAGTGGCATAGTGGTTAAGTTTGGTGTACCACACTTTGGCAGCCTGGGTTCAGATCCCAGGCGCGGACATACACCATTTATTAAACCATGTTGTGGCAGCGACCCACATACAAAAAAAATAGAGGAAGATTGACACAGATGTTAGCTCAGGGCCACTCTTCCTCCAGCAAAAAGGGGAAGATTGGCAGCGGATGTTAGCATAGGGCCAGTCTTCCTCACCAAAAAAAAAAGAAAACAGAATCTAAACAAAAGCTTACCTCCACGGTACACGGGGAAGTACCTACAATTGCCTGAAGGGGATTAAGGAAGGAAGCATGTGATTTTTTTTTCTGAAATAAAGTATTGGATTATGACTAATATGCTTGTAGAATGTAGTGCAAGTATAATATGGCCCTTTAAGAAATGTAATGATTTTCGGCCGGCCCCATGGCTTAGCGGTTAAGTGCGTGCGCTCCGCTGCTGGCGGCCCGGGTTCAGATCCCCGACGCGCACCAACGCACCGCTTCTCCGGCCATGCTGAGGCCGCGTCCCACATAGAGCAACTAGAAGGATGTGCAGCTATAACATACAACTATCTACTGGGGCTTTGGGGGGAAAAATAAAAATAAATAAAATCTTAAAAAATATATATATATCTTTTAATAAAATTTTATATTACATATTTTAATATGATATATTTGAATATTAATCATTTAGTATGAGTCAACTAATTTATATCTGATGATTATTTTACAAATTAAAACGCTGATGGCAGCATATTATTTGTGGCAGTTTGCTGGAACTTAGACATGTAAATTCTCAGGCCCCATCTACCTGCAGAATCAGAAACTCAAGGGGTGACTGACACCCAGCAATCTGTGTTTGAAGAAGCCCTCCAGGCAGTGCTGATGCACACCAGAGTTTGAGAACCACTGCCTTAACTAGTACAATCATAATGGTTAAAAGCATGGGCTTGGGCAGGGAAAGAAATGAGTATAAATTCATGCTCTGTAGTAGTTGTGTAATCTTGGGGAACTAGTTAATTTCTCCAAGTCTTAGTTTCTTCATCTACATGATAGGAATAATAATGATACTTAGTTTACAGGTAGGTTTCTCTGAAAATAAAATAATGTATGTAAAATGCTTAACAGAAGGCCTAGCT